CAACTAGCTAGTTCAACAGTAAAACGTTGAAACCTAGTTGCCAATATTGTAGAACGCTTAAATTCTTGCAGCCGGGATACTAGGGAAAAAGATTATCAGAGCAGTTGCCTTGAAAATATTTGTAGAAAGGACAGAGGGAAGCCACGTCACGTCGGTGAGAATGTGACTGATTTCGAGATGCCAGGGTCGATTATATTACTGTCCCTTTTTTGAAGTTTGACAAGAATCTCGATTATGGGAGCACCAGACCAAATATGGCAGTAATAATCAATACACTGGCAAATGATAGATTTATAAATAGGCAAGATGGTTTGTGATGAGAAAAGATTTTTTTTTCTCTCTGTAAAGACAAAGGCAATCAACAGGCAAGCAGGTGGATAAAGAGATTCCCTGACAGTCATGCATTCATGCCAAAACCTAATTTAACGTGGCATTACTATCACAGAGACTCATACAAACCCCCAAATGCCTAAAGTGATTAATAGCATTGTTCCTTGTCTAAATTGCCTTGAGGCTGTATAATTTCCAAATTTGATATATAAATCATGAGAATTGATCGGGACGTTTCAGTTTCTTGGTTAATGGCATGTGGGAATCAAACCTCATATCTCCATTAGAAAATAGGCATATATTTATATAGGAAAGGGAGACAAACACATTTTGCGACATGAAAAAATAGTAATCTAAAATAAAAATTGGCCATGTAAACAAAGGTTTATTCAAATGCTTATCTTTGATATGAATGTAAAGTGGTATAAATTCTACAAATAATAAAATCACAAACAATACATTTTATGATCGATAAACTATATAACTAAAAAAAACATAACCTTACTCTAAAAGCATAAAATTACGTACAAAATATTTAAATTTCGGCATTAAAGAATCCATAGAGATTGATATGCCGCTAAACAATATAAGCCAACCAACCAACCAAAACAACCAACAACAGACGTGAAAAAGCTGGAGAGTTTTATGTCTTAAGCATAGTTATTGATTTCTTTTCTTACCGTGATTTTCATTCAGTACAAAGCTCGAGAGCCGCTCATGGTAGAGGGTTAGAGAGTAAGAGGTACAGTTTATTCGGATATATTTGGGGAATATAACGGTTAACCCTATACTTGTAGTGATTGGGAACACATCCTATTGGAAGACAGTTCTACAGAGCAGCAGTTCGCGGGAGGAATCTGCTCGAGTGGAACTTATATGTCACTAATAGAATATGAAGAGAATGGGGGTCGTTCGCTACAATATGCATAGCATGGTAGGTCTTAGCCGTGAAGGTTAATACTGGTGGAACTAATAAATGGAGTTTGTCTGAACACTTTCCACGGAAATATTGATGGGGCAGCGAGAGGCTTGCGATGTTTTTTTCTGTGTGTAAGGGGTTGTAGGATGGAAAATAATTCATCATCCACAAGGAAGCAGAGACGGTTTTGAACTCTATTAAGACTGAAAAATGAAGACTGTGTAGCTCCTGTCCATATATGACAATAGTACTCCATTTATGACCTGACCTGGCTCTTGTAAGGGTAGAGGATAGCAGGAGAAGTCAGGTACATACAGGAGCGGTACAGGGAATCGACCATTTTTCCAGCATCTTATGTACAAGCTGCACTTGAGGTTTTGGCTGAGTTTAAGGTCCAATAAGCGCTCAAGGCAGGGGGGCCTCCTTCAGGGGACATACATTCATCATGACTGGTAAAAATTCAGGGTCCGAGCGGCTATGATGGAAAGGAACTAGTTTGGTTTTCGAGACATTGAATATTACCAGCCAGTTCCCCACAGCCGCTGAGATGTTAGAGCTAGATCAGAGGAGTGATCAGCTGCTGATCTCTGGTCAATTGAAAAAGATATTTAATTAATCAAATTATGATAACCTTTTTTTTCTTTAGATCATCAAACGCAAATAAGAAGTTTTGAAAGACGTAATGTTAAAAGTTCGGAATTTCAAACAAAATAAATGAAAGGAAAATCAATAGGATTTGAAATAATTTATTAAATAAGGATAAACCTTCACTCTAGACATTCCAACAACTTATATAAAGACATTTTATTGGAAAAAAATATCATGTTGAAGCATATATATAGCTATCAGGTCAGTGAAGGGGCCTTTGAAACTTATTGATTTCACCTGCTACATGATTTTATTTGGCTTTATTTGGATGGATAAAAACTCATTCAGAATTTAATAAAATTAATCAATTAATTTTTCTTAAAAGAAATCATATGATGAATAATAAAGACTGTTATCATGCCACTGAAGGAACCTTTGAATAAAATTGAATTGTAACCAGCTTCATTAAAATGTATAAAAATTCACTTTAGAACCATATAAATTTATATAAAGAGTTTTGCTCAAAAAAGAAAATATCATGATGAATAATATACATTGCCATCATGTCAATGAATGAGCCTTTTGAAATTCACCAATTTTATCGAACATCATTGAAATGAATAAAAACTCATTTTAGAACTATATAAACTTATATAAAGAATTTTTCTCGAAAAGAAAATTTCGTGATGAATCATATACATTGCCATCACGTCAATGAAGGAGCCTTTTGAAACTTTTGATTTACTTCACTATTTTATCGAACATCATTCAAAGAATAAAAACTTAATTTAGAACTATATAAACTTATATAAAAAAATTTTCTGGCAAAGAAAATCTCACGATAAATCATATATATTGCCATCACGTCAATGAAGGAGCCTTTTGAAACTTATTGCTCTGACCTACTGCACGATTTTATCTAACCTCATTCATATTAATAAAAGCCAATGATTAAATTATGAGTTTCAAAAAAATGTAAATTAAATTATATTGCATTAACTGTTTTTCTTTTTAAAGCACAGAATTTCAAAGAAACGCATATGTGAATATTTCATGAAATAATTGATAAAAATAATTGTTGGACAGAAAATGCTACATCAACAAATCAATGAAATTACATATGAGTCAATGAATATACCAATAAAAGCTGTGTGATTAGCATGGAACATGGAATAGGCAAATCTATGTTTATGAGTCTACTATTTGTCCATGCACTGAATAATGTTCCCGCATCTGGTTGGTTGGTTGGTTGATTTTGTTTAGCGGCATATCAACACCTCTATGGGTTATTTAATGCCAAAATCTAAATATTTTGAACGCAACTTAAGGCTTCAACAAAATACATTTTGAACGCAATTGTATGCCTTCAACTACAAATAAAATGTCTTGTTGGTTATTCTACTATAAAAGGTATTGCTGGTCATTTTGCTTTACAACCGTATTTTTGGTAATTTTACTATAAATAGGTATTGTTGGTAACTTTATATAAAATGTATTGTTGGTATGTTTAGTATAAAAATGTAGTTTTGTACTTTGATTGAGTTTTGCTTTTGTTTGCAAGTTCACTATTTGCCCATAGATGGAACCCTAACAGGTGTTACCACCCCGGGTCAGTGAGGATCTGGGAACAGCAGCAAATGAGAGGGGTGGCTCCACGCTCATCAAAACCTTCAATCTCTCGATCAGAGGCCTTGCTCCCACATGTGATTTCGGGCTTCAGCTATGTATTTAGAGATTCTTGATAAAATACAAAGAAGAATCTGTAATGGTTTTGGTCCTGAACTGGCATCTTTCACTTTCCCACCGCCGTAATGTAACTTCCCTGTGCATTATCTATAAATATTTTCATGGTAATTGTTCTGATGAACTTTCCTCTAATTGTGGGGGGTTTTATTACTAATCTTATTTTCTTTAGTTTTTTGTAAATAGTTTTTGTATGCATATTGTAAATACTCATTGGGGTTAACTTTTAGAATTGTTGTTTTATTCCCTCCCATCCCCCACAGACAACGAATTGTAAATATGGGGACTAGTTAGTATTTTCATAAAGACAAAGAGGTATTATGGTGGTTGTAGTAAGAAAGGTACGAATGAATGTGTTGTTTTGGTGTAAGGACTATTGTTTCGTACGATTGGGTCAGTGCTTGCGGCTAGCTAAGTTATAGTTAAGACAGAAGAAGACCGTCCTTTCCCCAATCCCCTTTTCGGCCTTGTGCCACATTTCTGTATTATACAGAATAAATATCACTTTCCTCTATGGTACCCAGACTTTATAAATTTAAGCGCAGTACTAGATTGGTAGCTAGGTCTCTTTATCTTAAATTGAAATTATTAGATGAAACCGTAAGTTCTATGCTAACAGTTTCTTCTCTCGCACTTCTCGCTTGTAGAACTTTCTTCGGGCTTCTTACTTTCTAGTCAAGTCTGATCTTCAAAAAATTTTAAAAATGTCAATTATCTTCTGTTTACTTAATTTCTGTTCTTCTATTGTTCTCGCTCGTTGATAATATTTTACTTTCTCATATTTTCAGTAACTCCCTTGCATCTCAGTGGCTTTATTACCTTTCTTGGAGTCAAATGATTAAAAAAAAAAAGCCTGAGTATAAATCCTAGTCTAGTTTCTCCCTCCAGGTTATCAATAATGCTTTTGAGAGAGGCATGAACTGATCTGGTTTCCTGCTCAACTATGGGATATCTATAAGTGGTTACTGTTTCCGAGTACACCCGTCTAGTAAATCACTATTACAGAGACTGGCCCAACCTACAGTCTCTGTGGTTTACAATGCAACTATACTGAGCGGAGCTTAGTTAAAGTTTCTGGCGTGATTCATTTTTTTAACAAAGCCAGCACACACAAACCCTCGTTCACGATGACTTGTGACTTCGTGTTAGCACAGCCAGTAATGGCTTCCGAACGGCTTCTATCTACCTAATTTCACTCACAAGGCTTGGGTCAATGGTTTTCAAACATTTTCAAAGGTGTTCCTGCGATCGTTTCACCAGGCCGATTTGCGTTGTTAAACTTATCGGCCTGGTGAAGCGATCGCAGAAGCACCTTTGAAAATCGCTTCACCAGGCCGATATGTTTAACAAGACAAATTGGCTGAGATTCAAACCCAATTTTCATGGCCAGAAAACAGACACATCACAAAATGTACCGGATTACGGCCACATCACGTTGAAACACCGGATCTCGTACGATCACTGAGTGAAGCAATGTCGAGCCTGGTCAGTATTTAGATGGGTAACCATTTGGGAACAGCAAGTGTTTGGCTGTGCGTGTGATGTAATGGAAAATGGTACAGAATTTTTAATCGGAGAGCCGAGTTCCAATTCCCATTGGGTTCGTTATATTCACTCAAGCGCAAATACTGTTGAGAAAGGTTTTAATCCACCTCTTCTCCGCCTATCTATAAGACTAGTAAGACTTGTATCAGTTAGTAAAACTTCTATTATCTCCAAAAATATTCTTACAATCTAAATGTATTTTCTAGCTTTCAATAACCTGCGAAATGTTGATAAATCGTAAAAAATGTAACAATCAACAAAACGTACCCAACCTTGTGTCATGAGCAGGAAGTAAAGTACTATGACTTCAAATGTTGATTTTCCAGGAAATCAAGTATACCCGCCCTACTAAAGAGATTGGTGCAACGAAGCCTTCCTCCACCACTCCAATCTTGTACAAATTTCCTGCATATATATATTTCCGTCTTGTGCAAATAAAATCTTATATAATATAAATAAATGTTGTATAATTGATCTCCTTGTATTAAATACAGTCCGCTTTGTATTAATGCTACTGCGGCGCCACCTTTACTCAAGGGAGATTACTCTAAAAATAATTCACCCTCAGTTAACTTTGAAAATGGCTTCACTGGATGGCCTAAGTACAGTTCTGACAAATGATACTGATTGCAGAAATAGATATACAGAAAAACATACTAATATCTTTGATTAAATAAATTTGGTTCTACAGAAGGAAACTGAGACTACCATGAAAGTAGGGTGCAAGCAACAAAGGCAAGAGGGACGGGTGAAACAGCGAGTAACTTACCTAATTGGATCGTATAAATGGATTGCTTGTATGAGAAATAGATGAAAAACATCACAAAGGACAGGAAGTCGTGGAAAGTCAAGAAGAAATTGTTGTCGTCGTCGCTGTCTAGGCTATTTTCTCGTCGGATGATACATAATCTAGGATCTTATTTAGCTCCACACTAATGTCCTCATATTAGTTGATAGTATCACGATGTCTTGGACGTTGTGCGTGTCAATCTCTGTGACATTCAAAAAATTTCGAACTGAACACTATATTTAATCTACAGGAGTGGCTCTTTTTCGTTCTGCTTCCAATGTCTCGGGATAGCTCGTCTTGTTTTTATTGCTCACCTCATTGTATAGGTTGAATATATCCGGTGAGAAGACGCACCTTCTATTTTTGTAAATCTACTGAACTAATTTTCTATCCGTATGCAGGCGGTTTACTGCCAAGATAGGTTCTGAATTATTCCAATATCCTTCCCAAATTTTATTTTTTTAATCGGTTTAACCCCAAGCAAGGCTGTAAAGACATTAGTACCCAAAGGCTTACAGGATGTGGAAGAATTAGGAACAGAAACATGAATAATGATTAGAAAGAGAAAAGAGTAATCAAGAGGAGAGTAGATAGCGATTGATATTGCATTTAAATTTTTGCAGGCCAAAGTTGGCTAGAAAGCATGGAACTGGAAAGGAGTTCCACAAGCGAGAAGTGCGAGAAAAGAAACTGTTAGTTTAGAATTTACTGTTACATCTAGCCAGCTCAACTGTAATTTAATGCGATCTCGACGCCAGTCTAGTACTGCACTTAAAATAAAAAAGATTAAGTACCATAGCGAAGAGATCATCCGAACAATTACCATGAAAGTTTTTATAGAAAAGATCGCAACCCTCAAGCCCAGCTCGAAGGGTGACATATAACCCTTGTTTCAGAAGACGAGGTCTGTCCTGGCAGCTTGACTTGGATTCCCCGTTCTTCCCGTGGGAACTAGCGGAGAAATCTCTCATAAAAAACAACTACTAACCTCAAGAACTTTGTTAACTAGGAAACCACATTCCCCCCCCACGCAAAATACTACTATTTTGCATACTTTTTCAACCAAAGATAAAAGCTGCTGAACCGTTATTTCAAGCCTTGGGTTTTGCTTATTCCATTCGCACTGCTCAGTACACACACACACGAGTACACGCAACCCTGAAAAATCCCCACAACTCGCAATTAACATTTCGCCAAATTCATGAACCAACTCTTTAATCTACTAGGCTATTTTTCCTTGGGATAATCCTGATTCCAGGGATTGGAGCCTTAAACCTATTTTTTTTCAGACACCTGGAGAAGGCTGGAAGGCATAACGACCAAAACGGTGTGATAATAAAAACAAAGATGTGGATCTCTCTATATTTCTATATATGTCTGTCTATATTTCTATATATTAAGCATTGTTCGAACTGTTGTTATATTTCTATATATGTCTGTCTATATTTCTATATATTACATTGTTCGAACTGTTGTCCTCATCTTTATTACCATATTCGCGACTTTTCGGCTCTTGTAGGCTCTGACCTTGTTAAGATGATTGGAATTTCCAAGAGAACCCTTTATTTCGTTTACCGGCGTAGATTGTTCTAGTCTCTTCCGGATGTCTCAGTTATCTCCATTTAACATAAATCGCCATGTTTTTGTTCACCACATGGCCCAGTGGATAAAAGCGTTGGTTGAATCCAGTGACTAGTCCTAAAGAGTTGTGGGTTCAATACCTGGCTACTGCAACGGTGAAGAAAATCTTGAGTTAAAGAAGATAACTGATACTGAAACACCCGGAAGAGGCATGACATGTGAAACTAGAACAATCTACCCCGGTGGACGAAATAAAGGGTTCAGTTCGAAATTCCAATCACCTGAAGAAGGCCGCAGCGTACAACGACCGAAACGTCGTGAATATGGCAATTAAAAGGAGGACAGCAGTCCGAACAATGTAAATAATATAAATAATGATGTGAGTATTAATCTGAATGTAAACTGTATATAGTCATGATTGACTCTTTCTTTTTTTTTATCCCCCTTCATATCCAGACATGTCTTTTGAAACATTTTATAATTGTATGTTGTCTGTATCTTTATTTCGGTTTCATCTTGGGAATTTTCTTTGTATACTTTTCTTAATACAAACATAAAAGGACTTAAAGTCTGGCTCCAATAAAAATTCCTTGGTCATAAACAAAACCGTATATAAATCGTATATAAAAGAAGAGACAGCAATGAAATCTTTTATGGAGAGAAAATTAAACTGTATTTCTCTGATGCAAGAGCCAGCATTGTATAAATATTTCATCGCCGGAGATTCGCAAGTTATTCAGTCGTACAAGCGATTTGCAAGTCACACTTAATTTTATACCAAAATAGAACTGATGGCAGCAATGCAAAATTTCTTTTCTCCAAAGAGATAGACACGTCTGACAAAACTGCAAATAGCTTCTCCGGTAGGAAAAAATTATTCTACAGTTCTGAATAAACATCTTTCTTTTTATTCATGAGTTTTAAAACATGATTGCGGTCAGATGTTTCCGCGAGGTCACATACACAAATTTAAATAATAATAATAATAAAAAAATTGCTTCCTTATTGATATGGAATATTGTAATGTATCTTCAAAAAGCTTGAAGATATTCAAAAAGCTATCAAAATCCAATGACCTTTAAATCGAAATCTTAAAAATGTGTCATATGGGAATATCAACATAATGTTGTAGTTGGAGCCCTCGGATTGGTTGTAAAAGATTCCATTGAAGAGATTCCTGGAAGCCCATGCCTTAAAGAAGCACAAAAAATTGTTCTCACGAGTACAGCCCACACTTTACGAATGGCTTTATCTATGTAAAAGGTGTGTGTGTGTGTGTGTGTGTGTGTGTGTGTGTGTGTGTGTGTGTGTGTGATTTGTTTATTTTTTTTTGTTTTTTTATTGGTCAGTGGAAAATGTCATAAAGCCATTTCTGACCTTAGGTCTATCGGCAGGACCCGGAAAGAAATGCGTACACACCAGAAATTAATAATAATAATAATAATATCGATGATGATGACTATGTTGTTCTTTTTTACAGTAAGGTTCGCCCTCTACAAGGCCTGGTGGCCAGTCGAGGTAGAGGGTTACGTTAGGACGCCATTTGTGCATATAGCAGTGAAAGATATCAGTTAACACTAGTCTTGAACAGGTTAAGATTGTAGTGATCGGCGAAACATCCTCTTGGGAGTCGGTTTCACAGAGCAGTGCTTCGCGGTAAGCAGCTATTTAAGTGAAACTTACTTCTCGCCGATGGAATACGGAAGGAATGAGGGTGTGTTGTCACTATCTAAGTCTCATCTTCTTCTATGCACCATGTCCCTTCATGACGTTGGCGATCATCGCTCTCCACAATTTCCTCTTTCAACTCTTAATAAATTTCCTCTTTTTACTATCTCTCCTAAACCTTGATCCGCCCTCCATTTTACTGAAGCTTGCTAAGTAGGTTCTTCGTTATTTTCCTCAGACTCACTTGCCTTCAATTTGTCCTGTGAGTATCTAATATGTGGGCTTCCTTACTTTTATTTATTCAGCAGTAGCAGCAACAACGGAAATAATCAGTAGAGTAACGATAAAGGGATAGCGAAAAGACAAAATTTACGAAGACCTATAAAAGGCAGGGAACTTGTGGCGGGCCATGATCACACTAGCGTCCTCTAAGGAATAGCTAAAAAAGATCACAGCATGATGAAAAAGACCCCAAACTTGACGAAAAAAAAAATTTTATCGTCAAAATGTTTATGCTATTATTAAAAGGAAAGAACAAAGTATTTTTTAATTATTTAAAAAAAAAATTCTTTCTTTTTGGAACATTATAACTTTTGATTAAATAAACCTTGTTCCTCTTTGTGTCAGCGGAAGTACTAAATAACTATAATAAACTTTAGCCCATTTTTTATGACAGACATTAATTTGGAAAATCTTGTAAAAATAAAAATAAATGTCAGATTTTAATGAAACTTTCAGAAACTATTCACAAATGCTGGAAATTATTCAAAATATCTTTTCTTTTTTTTTAAAGTCATGGCAAATTATTTTTTATAATTATTTCTAATTTTCTTAAAATAAATTTTCAATTAGTATAATTGATTTTTGAGAGATTATCAAACGGAGAATTTCACTTTTGTTTACAAAATGAAAAATGTTTTACATGATCAATTTTGTGTCAATT